TTAGCTGTTTTGGTCTTCTGCTATCATTAGCTTCTTTGGTATTTTTCAACAAGGAAGAAAGGAAGGTTATCAGGTTTTTAAATCAATCCACTAGCCAATCAAATAAACACGTTGTTGAACCAGATGTTGTTAATTGTACCAATACTTACATTGTGATGTGAAAAGCTAGTTAATTTCAGGAGGAACTAACAATACAGTCCTATAACATCCACTCAGAAGTAAGCCCCATTCCATTCTGAGGTACATGGGTATAGGATTATGGCTAAAGTTTACAACCCTGCTTGCAGATCAGGATGACAAATATGGCTTATATTGAGTGGTCCATCTTGTCCACTGTTGTCTATACTAATGGACCATGGCTCTCTGAGATTTCATAGACTAATAGAAACACAGAATAGAAAAGCTGGAAGGGAATCATAAGGCCATTGAGTCCAGACCCCTGCTCAGTGCAGAACTTCAGCTAAAGCATCGCTGACAGAAGGCTGCCCAACTGCCTCTTGGATGTCTCCAGTGTGGGAGACATCCCACATGTTCTCCTGCTCCAACAGCCAGGGAGTTCTTCCTGATGTCCACCTGGAATTTGGCTTCCTGTGAATTAAGCCCATTTTTCTGTGTCCCGTAATCTGGGATGACTGAGAAGAGATCCTGGCCTTCCTCTGTGTGACAGTCTTTCAACTATTTGATGAGCACAATCATATCCCCCCTCAGTCTTTTCTTCTCCAGACTGAACATGCCCATTTCTTTCAATCTCTCCTCAGAACGGCTTTGTTTCTGGCCCCTGATTGTCCCTGTTGCCCTCCTCCGCACCTTTCCAGTGTGTCTGCATCTTTCTTAAACTGTGGTGCTCAGACATTGATGCCGTACTCCAGATGAGGCCCATGTAGTGCTGAATAGCAGGAAACAAGTATTTCACATGATTTGGGTGTGATACTTCTATTCATGCCGCCCAAAATAGCATTTACCCTCTTTGCAACCATGTCACATTGTAGCATTGTCGAACCATGTAACCCCTCATATTTGGTTTCTTTTTCCTAGGTGCTGAACTTGTTCCTATTAAATTTTATTCTGTTCTTTTCAGCCAGTGCTCCAGCCTATCAAGATTGCTTTGAATTTTCTTTCTGTCTTCCAGGGCAATAGCTATCCCCCCCAATTTTGTGTCATCTGCAAATATGATAATTGTTCCCCACACCCCCTCATCCAAGTTCTTAATAAAAATGTTGAAGAGCACTGGGCCCAGGACTGACCCTGTGGTACTCGACTTGTTACCATTCCCAGTTTGAGAAGGTGCCATTGAAGAGCAGTCTTTGATTCTGTAGTCAACTATGTTTCAATCTGATAATTGTTCCATCTATCCCAATATTAGCCAGTTTACCTATCAGGATATCATGGAGCACTTTGTCAAGATATATTATGTTCGCAGCATTCCCACAGTCCACCATGGAGGTTACTCAGTAAAAAAAACCTCAGATTAGTCTGCGTATCTAATGAATCTGATCAGAAGTCAGGTTGGTTTGGCAAGATTCGTTCTTGAGAAATCCATGTAGGCTTCTAGTAATCACGGCATTGCTTTCAAGGTGTTTGCAGATTGACTGCTTTATAGTCTGCTCCGGATTTTGCCCAGGAATTGGTATCAGACTATCCTCTTTTTTCCCTTCTTTCAGATGGGGGCAATGTTAACTCTTCCCCGTCATCTGGCATTTCTCTTTCTCCATGATTTCAGGCATGCACCTTTCACAACCCTATGTACTTGGAGATGCCAAAAAGGACGAAGTCATGAGACCCCAGAAAGACTAACTGGAGTGAGTGTTCATGGACCATATTCCTCATCAGGGGATTGAACATGGGGCTTTGGCATGCAGAACAGATGCTCCACCACTGACCCGTGGCTCTTCCTCCTCTCCGTGGGCCTTGCTTCTGGGCAGGGAGGATTGAGACTAACCTGGTCTGAGCCAACCCGTAATGTCTGAACTGGCGCACAGTTGCCAACGGAAATGAGGCGGGTGTCATACTCTCATCACTTTCTGGCCTGGTAACCTTTGGCTTGCTTAAATCTTGCCTGCCAAGGGCTGTTGTTGGGGACTCACGGACAGGGCAAGAACAAGGATGTACCTTAGTCCTCTGCCCACTACTAGCCACAAGCGAAAAGCCCTCCTTCCCTTGGTTCACGGCTCAAGACAGGGCAGAGGCCAGAACCCAAAATCCAGAGGGGTGCTTGCGGTTTGGAGAGGAAGGGGGTGTCCTGCTTGCCCGGATTTGTGCGGGTCCGGGTCAGTCCCCCTTTCCACAAGTAGAGGAAGGGAGAAGCGCCGAATGGGCGTGGCCAGCCCGGGGTGGGCGGGCCAGAGGCTGGGAGAATGAGTGAGCGAGGAGCGATCCTGCGGAGGACAAGGGAGTAGCTGGGGGGCCGGCCGAGGAAGTCTAGCGCTTTCCAGACAAGGTGGGTGGATAAGAAGCGAGAGGGGATTCCTCTCTCCGCCTTCCCTTCCCTTCCCTTCCTCTCCGTCTGACTCAAGAGCGGAGGAAGGCTCCGACTCAACGAGACGACGAGCGGCTCTCAGGAGCAGAGACCGAAGAAGGGCGATCGCGGCGTTGCTTTTTTTAACGCATCCTCCTCAACTCTTGACTGCAACATCCCGAGAGCTCGGGGCGCCCTGCTCCGGCGAGGAGGGGCTAACGGGGACGGGGACAGGGCTCATCGCTGTCTCCTACCTCCCACCAGTCCACCCAGTGATGTCAACCATGCAGGACGCGGAGGGGCTTCTTTGTCTTGGCGAGTCTGCTTGAAATAAGGTACCAGCCAGAACGAATCGCACACACAACACGCACGCACGCACGCACGCACACACGCCCCATCGCAGCCCTGAAGCCAAGCCTCCCCCCCCCCGCTCCGCAACCGCCCAAGGTCCAGAATTTTCCCACTACTTTGTGGGTTTGGGGGCTGCTTAAAGAGAAGCCCCCTCCCTCCCTCCCTCCCTCCCTTCTTCTAGCGCCTTCTTCTTTGCTTATCCTTGTCTCTTCTCTTCCATACAGCAGGGAGGCTGAGCAAAGAGCTGCTTCTGCCTCCTGCCTCGGGATACGGACGAGTCCATCTTCTGGCGGCTGCGAAAGGAGCAAAGAACAGGAGCGGGAAGGGGCGGCGGGGGGAGAGAGGAAATCCGTAGATTTCCAGACAGCCCCCCAGCGCGATCCGGCGATGCCTCTCCCTCCACTTTTACTCACCCATTTCTCATTTAGAATATATAAGCTCTTCCCATTTCCCCGTGCCATCTGCAGGATGTAAAGGAGGGAACAGGCTCCGACACGCACACCTGTCTCCACAGCCGCCCCAGCCCACCCGGTGCCCCCACCCCATCGCTCCCAGTGAGACGCGAGCAGCCAGGGAGCAGCATGGAAACTCTGACTACGATGGGAACCCAAAGTCTCCAGCAGCTGGGCGCCCCATCCTTCCTACCCCGGCGGGTCTTCCGCATCTTTCTTTTGACCATCCGCCTCTTTTCCATCTACAACCGCCTTGCCAAAAAAGCCACTCGGAATCTTCTCCGCTTTCTCCGTCTTCCCCTCGAAAAGCAATTTCCCCTCTGAAGAGGTAACGGAGAGGCGGACTGAATGAATAACCACCACCTTTTTTAAACCAGCCACCGACGCATCCCAAAGAAAGCTGGATTGTACGCTCACTTCTCCTCCTCGGCCTGCCCCCCTCCGCTCCACCTAGCTAAGTTTGTGGCTCCGAGAAGAGGTTCTTCTCCCTCCGTGATCCTTGCGGCGCCTCCTGGAACGGCAGGGCTCCTCTCCGCCCAAAGGTCACCGCTCATCCTCTCCTAGGGTTTTGATCGCAGAAAATCCTGGAGCGGCAGCCTGCAGGGGAACATCTCCGTCCGTCCGTCTCTTTCTCTGAGCACCCGGCTGGGAAAATTTGCATCTCCCCCCTCCCCGTGTGTGTGTTTGTGTGTGTATCTGTGTGTGTGGAAAGGCTTAAGGGATCCCTGGTGATTGCAACCTGGCCGGTTTCCTTTACCACTTACCGGAAGTTGCTCCTTGTTCCCTCCACCTCAAAAGTCCGGGAGCGTGGCTGCTGATGCCGTGCCCGCATCCTCCGGGGGCACATCTGGACTGGCCAGAGCTGGAGACCAGATTCAGCAGTCCCAGCCGGCGTTGGCCTTTACCAGGAGAGGAGCCCTTGCCTTGCAGGGTTGGGTAGGGGCGCGCCTGTGCGCCGTTCTTCTGATGGGACCCAGGCCTCTCTGCCCCCCTTTAAGCATTTCCGATGGGACCCCCGCATACTCTCTTCCCTCCCGGGGCTTGAAAATTGCCGAATAACCCACGCGCCAGCCAGCCGACCAAACAGGACACTTCCCCGGGGCAATTTAGGAAGAGAAAGGTGGAGAGTGTGTGCCGGGCGCGCGCGCGGGCGCGGGCGCGCGTGTGTGAGTGGGGAGCGAGGTGAACTTCTTTCCCCAGCCAACTCCGCTTTCCTCTTGGCGAGGGGATCCGATTTTAGGGAGAGAGAGGGAGGCGGCGGCGGAGTTGGGAGAGTTGGGAGAAGCGTGGGCGGTTGGGTGGGCTCCCCGCGGCCTCCGCGCTCCTCGGTCCGCGGAGCTGGTCCCCGAGCCGCCCTCCGGCTCCTGGCAGGCGAGTCCGGGCTGCCTGGGGAGGTGCCGTTGATGGCCCTGCGCGCCGGGACAGCTTGGTTTGGGCAGGTCTTGCGCAGAGTTTGCCAGCTGCAGGCTCCGTGGTCCCGGCGCTCCAGCAGCCTGCTGTGCTTGTCTGCCTCCTCGGAGCCCGAGCAAGGGGGCGGCGAGCCGCTTCACCAGCCGCCGCCGCCGCCGCCACAGCGGCAGAAGCAGCCGCGACTTCAGCACCAAGGACAGCAGCCTCGCGGAGGGAGCCCCGGTCGCCCCGCGCAGCGCGCCTCGCTGGGCGGCTGCCCCTGCTGCACCCTGTCGGATCCGCGGGCAGCAAGGGGGGGACATGGTCCCCTCCGTGGGCCCTTCCTGGCGGCTATGAAGAGGCAGAACGTGCGCACCTTATCGCTCATCCTCTGCACGTTCACCTACCTGCTTGTGGGGGCGGCTGTCTTCGACGCTCTGGAGTCCGACCACGAGATGCGCGAGGAGGAGCAGCTGAAAGCCGAGGAGACCCGGCTCAAGGGGAAATACAACATCACCAACGACGACTACCAGCAGCTGGAGGAGATCATCATGCAGTCGGAGCCCCACCGGGCTGGGGTCCAGTGGAAGTTCGCGGGGTCTTTCTACTTTGCCATCACCGTCATCACCACCATAGGTGAGTCCTCCCGACGGGGCTGGAAGGTTGTGGGGTGCCAAGAGCGGGAAAGGACGTGGATGAGACAGGATGCGAAGAGGGGAAGGTCTTATGGGTGGGCTCCCAAAGTTTGGAGGCCTGGCCTTCTCCGGAAAATCAGAGAAAGTGATAAGAAGAGACAGATATCTGCGATCTGTTGCTTCCAAGAGTTTGGCTGTGTGAGATGAAAGGGAAGTATGCACTAAAAGATCCGTGTGTGTGTGTGTGTGTGTGTGTGTGTGTGTGTGTGTAGGCGTGTGTGTGGAGTTGGACAATTGTAGGATTTCCAGGCTTCCACAAGAAAAGGCTTAGAAGTCTATCCAAGGGAGGGCTGATTCCAAAAGTTGGGATACCAAAAGAGAAGTAAGTTGCTCTTTTGACAGTATGATGTCACTTGAATCTTTCTGCTTATACTTGTGGGACTTTCCCCCCTGCTCCAGATCAGGTTCCTTTACAGAATTGGAAGGAGTTTTGAATGTAGTAGAGAAAAGTGGCTGGGAATGAACCTTGCACAAATCTTTGGAGCAATTGCACTTGGAATACTGTGGTCATTTCTGGTCACCTTACCTGAAAAAGGACATTATTCAGTTGGAAAAGATACAGAAAAGGGCAACAAAAAAAATCAGTGGACTGAAACAGTGGCTACCACAACTGGGACTGTTCAGCTTAGAAAAAGGGTGAGGAAGAGGAGATATGCTAGAGGTGTTTAAGATAATGCATTGTGTGGAGAAAGTGGAGAATTTTTCTTCTCTCGCATAGTACTTGAACCCAGGGTGATCCCTTGCAGCTGATGGATGGGAAGTTTAGCACAGATAAAAGGAAGTCCTTCTTCACACAGTGTATTATTAAACTATGGAATTCGCTGCCATGGGAAGTGGTGAGGGCCGCCAATCTGGATGGCTTCAACAGGGGATTGGACAGAGTCATGAGGGAGGAGGTGATCTGTGGCTACTAGCCCTGCTGGCTATGTGCTACCTTCATTACCAGAGGTGGTGTGCCTGCATATGCCAGTGTCTGGGGAGCCTGGATAGGAGGAGGTCTTGCACCCCTCCTGCTGGAGGGATCCTGTGGGCAGCTGCTTGGCCACTGCATGGATGGGGTGCTGGAGTAGCTGGATCTTGCGTCTGATCCAGCGGGGCTTTTCCTTTGCTCTTATGGAACTTTTGCAAGGGAATTATGTGCTGCTAGTAGCTCTTCCACCTATGACTGGGGGACAGTAAGGTAATGTACGAGTTTTTAATAGGAATTCTCAGGGCAGGCGCAAGCAATCGTTAGTAGCTTTCAAACTTTAACTTGGAAGTCCGATGGAAAAATGGCATTTCAAGGATGATGATGATGAGTCAAGGTTTTAAAGAACTGCAGTCCAATGTACATTTACTTAGGAATCGCTTCTTTTGAATTCTCTTGGGGAAAGTGCATACAATGAGCTTCAGGTATCTTTTGAAACTCAGTTTCAACCTAGGGAGAAATAGCCATGATTTCTAATCTTCCAGCCACTTAATCAGGAAAGTCCTAGTGAACTAAACTGGAATCTCCACAAATAAATAGTTTGAGGACTGAAACCTACATTAGTATACTAGAACCCAAACAACTTGACAGACATTTTACTCTTTCTCATTCTTCGCTATGGAAATGGGGAGAATTTTCTCAGAGGTTTTCTTGACAACTGCAGTTGTAACAAGCCACTAAATGTGCTGCTTTTCTCCCATCTGCTCATACATTCTTTGGAGTGTGCACCTGACTTGGCCACAGCTAAAAACGAGACTTGCCAAACTATGAATAGCTAGTCCACTCAGCAAAATGACCATCAATGGAGAATTTGCCACTCCTTAACTTTATCTAGAGCTCTCAGAAATCTTTTAAACCAGTGCAGGGCAATTTGTGACCATCCATATGTTTTGACCTACAAATCCCATGATTCCTCATTGTGGAATTGCCTATGGCGGCAAAAACATCTGGAGGGGCAAAACCTGCTCACACATGTTCAGAGATGACAGTTTTGTTGAATACCTGAAGGAGGTTTGGCAATAGAGTATTTTGCTTGTGGTAAAAAGGTTGAATCTTCCAGTGGAAGTTTTCTTCTCCCTTACAGCAAAAGCCAATTTGATTGACTGACCAGTTCATCTCTAAGGTTCCCAGTAGGGAGTGCGGAAACAAACTTTGCAATCACAGCTGATGAATAGAAGCCAGTGCAGATAAATAGGGTGTACTAAATGAGGCCTAAAGAAAGAAGGAGCAGCATGAGCTGGCCAGAGAATGGCTAGTGAAGGAAACTAAGGCAAAGGGCAGAAGGTGTTGGGGTCAGAGGGGAGGATGTTTTGTTGCTTAGCTATGTAGACATCAGCAGAAATGGATGTTAATGATGAGATGAAGAGTAACCGACGGCTGAATCAACTTCTTTATTTTAAAAGACTGTCTCCTTTTTATGCTTGCAGATAACCTTTGTATGCCTCTAAACTCTGCTCTGTAGTCTCAGTTATAAAAAGTCTGTGTAAGAAGTGAGAGGGTAGACATTTTCCTGTCAAGTACTATCTAATAAATGACTGATGGTCTGAACCTTAACCATTGTTTTGGGTTTCTATTTTTATGGATTGGTTTTTCTTCAACAATAGGAAACCCAACTCCAGAAAAAAATGTATTTGCTGGACTTTTATCTGCATTGATCTTCTTGCATTGATCTCTTCAGTGCTTGCTTTATCACTTTCTAGTCTGTACAAATATTGTGTGTGTGTGTGTTTATTTGATGAACTAATGACAATGTCCCACAAGATACCCTGAAGGGCCACATAGGGTCAAATCAATGCAATAGTTGATTTATTAATTAGGCATCGGTTGCATTTTATGGGGTAGGGTTTGAAGTAATAGAACAATGTTGTGAGGAGAGATCTACAGAACTGGGCATGTTGAGCCTTGAGAAGAGAAGACTGAGAGGAGATAGGGTAGTGCTTTAGAAGTCCTTGAAGGGCTGTCACACAGAAGAAGGCCAGAATCTCTTCTTGGCCATCCCAGAGTGCAGGACATGGAATAACGGGCTCAAGTTCCGGGAAGCCATCAGGAAGAACCTCCGGATTGTTAGAGCAGTCTGACAATGGAACCCATGGCTTAGCGAGGTTGTGCGCTCTCTCACCCTGGAGGCCTTCAAGGTGCAACTGGGCAGCCAACAGAGAGGGATGGCTTAACTTGGTGTCCTGCACCAGCAGGAGGTTGGGCCTGATGGCCTTCTTGGCCCCTTCAGACTCTACTATTCTATGATTCTATAATCAAGAGAGGTGCTATCATTTAAAATATTAGCTCTTGTTATCACCAGTGTAAATATTATCCTGCAAAATGCTGTCAGTTTTTGTTAGAAAGTCCATTTTATGTTCGGAACTGTCAAAAATGTCATTTTTGCATTCAGATTTTGAGTTTCTTACCTGAGGCAGTACATTGGTTGCCGAACGGATAGCATGACACATGTATGGAGAATGTCTTCATCTGGATAAAAAGAAGAAAGGCATGTTTTCTATGGTCTCTGTTGTTTATCTTGTTAAAGCCTTTCCTTGCACTTCAGCTTACCCACATTCTTACAACAAGGTTTCCTCACAGAATTCAAAATCTAAATGGTTTTTATTATTAAGAATTAGCTATTTATAAGCACTGAGTTGGAGTCAGATTCACCCAGTGAAATATAAATCACGTTGATGTCAATGGGACAAGTCAGCCACAGCTTAGCTTCCGTCCCATTGATTGCAATCAACTCTAGCCTGTATGAGACCACGTGAAAATATATCAGCTATTTATCAGTTTTGGGTTAACGGTTATCTTTTTAAGTGTTATCTTTCTGTTTTCTTAATTCCAGTTCAGCAATTTTAGACCTGCAGAAAAAAAATATACTGAAGTTTTAAGAAAATATCCTGCAGTGAAATGAAGTGTGTAGCTTTGGCTGAATTTTTTTTGGCATTGTTTCTATTTTTAAACTAACCTTGAAGACATTGCTCTCTCACACTTTGTTCTCTCTCTTTCTGAAATCACCCCAGTACAATTCATGAACGATTCATGCTTCGTGTATTAACGGGAGACCCACAGTGTCTCAGTGGGGTAGAGCTGGGGGAATGTTTCTTGATATTGGAATCTGAAATGCCCTTGTTTGACATCATAGTCAATATGGCACTTCATTGTAAGATTGGCGTCTTATGAAAGTTTTCCAGGTAGGTGGGGAAGGCCGACCTCCAAGTAGTTTCCCAAAGCTGAGCTGATCCAGGTGCTGAATTTGACATGAGGCAACAAGAGAGCTGCTTAAATCTTCCTGATTGTTTGCTCAAAATAGTTCCAAGCCTGTCTGGCATCCAAAACATTCAGCTTCTTCCAAAATGCTGTGTGTGTTTTATTATCTATGGCACCTTTTAGAATTGGATTATCATTAAAAAATATAGGATGGCATCAGTGTGTATTATGCTACTTTACAGTATAAAGGGAAAAACCATGAAGGATGTTGCATTGTAGCTTTCGGCAGGGAATAAAAGAGAGTGCAGGGAAGTGCATAACGAATTTGAGCAAATACTTGTATTCTATTGTACTCTTGTTGAAGCTGGGAATCAACCATTCAAGGTTGCTGAAATTAAGGGTTAAGGACTGAAATGAATACTTCATGAAGCAAAACCTGCAGTCTTTCATGGCTTGGGGTCCTCCATGTGTTAGCCAAGTGAAGTTTCCTCAGCATGATGTTCTGTTCAAATGATGGGTTCAGAAGGCAACAGCCAGAAACAAGTTTTCCCCTGTGCTTGTCCCCAGAGGATTCATATTAACATATGAAGCTCTCTTGGGTATCTTTTGTGAGGAGTTGTAAGGCACCTCTTCTCTTTGGGCTTTCTATGGCTGTGTGACAAGCATCGTAGGGTACAGATGAGATGCAGTCCTCAGTTTTTAAGAGGTTAGATCTAGACTTAAGCAGGTTTAAACACGTCAAATAATGTGAGACTTAATTATTTAAATCACTACACCTG